AATATTTTATTACTTAAATCGGCATTATCACTTTTATTTATATTTATATTTCATTTATATTCTCATATAAATTATATTTTTAAATAAAACGTTCTCTTACTATTTAAATAAATAACAATTTTTATTTAAATTTATAAATTCGGTAATATACTTATTTTCCATTATTTATGATACTTAACTACTGTTCTAATGTGCTCAATACCACTCTTTAAATAATAGCCGCTTGAAAGCTTATATTTTAGCCATAATCATAATTAAATGTCTTAGACTAAGTATATATTTTTATACCTTATTTTATACTCAGGGCTGTTTCCCTTTTGACATATTAAGCTTAACCCTAATAGTCTCAATGTTATATAAAAATATATTATTTTATTATATATATATAATAAATAAATAATTTATAGTTTACTAAATATACCCATAAAAAAGAATTTCTATAAATATATAAAGTAGAGCTTTATCTTTTATTGTTTATATTTATCTGTACTTAAATACATTTCAGAGAAAACCAGCTAGCTCCAAATTCGATTAGCATTTCACCGCTAATTACACTTCATCTAATGATTTTGCAACATCAACTAGTTCGAACAATAAGTAATTTAATACATTATTTTCTAAGCATAATTAGATCATTTGGGTTCGGGTCTATAATTATTTATATTAAGATTGTTTTATTAAAACTCGATTTACCTCTTATTATATTTTTTAATATTTTATACATATTTTTAACTTGTAAGTTTGTATATAAATAATTATAACTCGCCGACTCATTCTTCAACAAGCATTTAATTAAATTATAATTAAATAAAATTAAATAAACTTTATAAAATTTAAAATTTCATGTTCTTTTCACTTTTTTATCCAAAATCTTTTCACCTTTCCCTCACGGTACTAGTTCTCTATAAAATTTTATGATATTAAAAATTTTTTAGATAGTACTAAACAATTAAAATCAAACAAATCGTATATTTGCCTTACATATTGTAATACTAAAAAAATTTATTCATATATTATTATAATAATAATATTTATGTTAATTTCTATTCGCTCGCCGCTACTAAGAAAATCGTTGTTACATTTTTTTCCTTTAAATACTAAGATGATTCAGTTCTTCAAGTACTCTATATAATTATATTATAAAAATACACTATAACATTCAATACCTTTATATTTTTTTATTTATTCAATATTTAAATATAAATATTCAAAATTTTCATTTTGATTTTCTTCGATCATAAAATTTTAGAAATTCATTTTAAATTTTAATTAATTTTAATTATTTTTTTTTATTTTGTTGTTGTTTTAACAAAAAAGCAAATAGAATTTCACTATTATTTATTTAAACTTATTTTTTTTAAAATAAGTCAAAATCGTTTTATTATTAAACTATACTTTCATTTATAAAATATAATTTTTAAATCTTAAATTTTTAAATATATTATTATTAATTTATTTTAATAATATTATCATTTGATTTAGTATAATTAACATTTAAATTCGAGTGGATTTAATGTACAGTATACTTCACATTTTATAAAATTTTAGATTAAATATTTTTGTTTTATCATTACTACCTTTTCATTTTATTAATAATATCTAGCCGCACTTTCCAGTACGGCTACCTTGTTACGACTTCATCCTAATCACAAATCAAAAATTTGTTACTTATAAAATAACTTGTATCGTATTTATTTTCAGGATGCGACGGGCGGTGTGTACAAAACTTAATTATATATTCACCGTTATATATATGACTAACGATTACTAGTGGTTACTACTAAATATAAATAGATTTCAATTTATATATCGTACTGAGATAAAATTTAGTTTTAAATATATATAAAATTTTCATAAAATTCAATAAATATTTTTTACATTTGTTTTTATCGTTGCGCCACGCTAATAGCCCAATACATAAGGGGCATAAAGATTTGACATCGTCCTTAATTAATTATATATATATTAAAATAAGGGTTACGCTAGTTTTAGAATAGTTTAATTACTTCACAGCACTAGCTGACGACAACCATGCACCACCTTAAGATTAATTAAAATTTTCCGTAAAGAAAAATGTTTAATTATGTCAAATATTGGTAAGATTTTTTGGGCTGCATCAAATTAAATAACATAGCTCATCACTTGTATAAGTTCCCGTCAGTTCCTTTGAATTTGACTCTTGCGAGCATACTATTCAGGCGGAATATTTTACGTATTAACTTTAAATCTAAAAAAATAATTTTTCTAAATTTTAATATTCATAATTTACAGCTAAAACTACTGGGGTATCTAATCCCATTTGCTACTTTAGCTTTCATCCATCAATGTCAGATGTAACTTAGTTTAACACTTTCGTTCGTGGCCTTCCTTAATGTATAGAAATAATATTTCACCATTACTCAAAAAATTCCTTAAACTTGTTTTATTCTCAAAGTTCTATTAATATTAAATATAATGTTTAAAAATATTATTTTTAAATTTTTACTTTAATATAATAAACCATCTAAGGATGCTTTATGCCCAATAATTATGAATAACGCTTATATCCTCTGTATTACCGCGGCTGCTGGCACAGAGTTAGCCGATATTTTCTTATAATTCAATCACTTATTTTAGAATTATTTACAGAAATTTACATTTTATTTCGTCTTTTCACACGACGTCACTCTATCTAGTTTTCACTAATTGTAGAATATTCCCCACTGCTGCTCTCTCTTTAGAAATTCAGATTTTATCTCAATTCTGATGTGACTGTTCACCCTCTCAGGCCAGTTATTGATCTTCACCTTAATATTTATTTTAAATATTAAATAGCTAATCAAATAATAAAATTCATTTATAAATAAAAATTTTTTTAGTACGTTTTTATATTTTAGCACTCATTAAGAATTAAAATATGCCAGCTTTTAACTAACATATTGTTATTCTAAATTTACAATTGTAATTTTATTTATTACTCACCTCTACACTAATTTAAATAATAGAATTTCTATTTTAAATTCAATTAGCATGTGTTAAAGTACGTCTTAAGCGTTCATTCTAAGCTAGGATCTAACTTATATAAATAAATATTGTTCTTAGTTTTAGTTAAATAAATACACTTTATATTTATTTTTATAAAATTTATTATATCTATAATTAATTAATTTTAAGATCTAAAAGGATTTAAACCTTTATATTATAATTCGTAATCATACGCTTTACTCTATTTAAGCTATAGATCTTATATACCTACTAACTTACACGTACAATCAATACATGTATAGATTATCTTGGAATCGAACCAAGATCTTACATTTATCATATGTACACTCTTCCATTAAGCTAAAAATCCAATACACTGTTAAAACAATGTATTTATGGAGGTAGGAGGAATTTAACCACCATATCTATTTTGCAAAAATAATATTTTAACATTAAATTATACCCCCAAAATAATAGATAATAATGGAATCAAACCATTGTTTTTTAATTGTAAATTAAATATTTTATCATTAAATTAATTATCTAATTATATAAATAAAGAGAATCGAACTCTTAAAAACTAAATCCTAAATTTAGCGCGTTTACCTGTTTCGCCATATTTATGAATTTTTGCCAAAAATCAGATTTGAACTGATTACCGCTGGACCTTCAAACCAGTACTCTAAACCGAATTAAGCTATTTTGGCTACGAATAACAAAAAAAGGACTCAAACCTTTAACTTTGGACAATGAAACCAATGAGTTGTCGTTTACTCCATTTTGCTTAAAATTCATATATAATATATATATATGTAAGTTTCCAAAATCGCAAAAAACTATAAAAAACATAAATAATACTTTATTTTTTTTATATTCACATAAAAAAACACACAAAATATTGTTAAATTATTTAGGTGATATGCCGATATAATAAGCATTGAATTTAATAAGATTTTAACTTATATTTAAAATTTAGAAAATTTTTGTTTTAACGATTAAACTATAAATCCTTTTTTATATTATTTATTTTTTTTAGATCTTTTAAGTTTAACAGATTGTGCTGTTAATAAAGCTGTTATTATAAATTTTAATATAAAGTTTATAGATTTATTATTAGTGTTGTTACTACATATACCAAAATCAATTAAGTTTGTATCAAAATTTAAATCGTAAGTACCCATAACAAATTTATTTTTAAATATGCTTTCTTTTATAGCTGTTAAATTTGAATCTAAATTTAGAAAAAATACAAATTTTGAAAATTCCATATTTTTTAAATATTTAGCAAAACCGTATTTTGATTTTAAATTTTTAAATTTATTTTTAGATGTGTAGTTAGATTTATTTAATTTATGTAAAAACATATAAGTTATTATAAAGCTAGACAATACATTTTCGTTAGTAAGTAGACCGTTTATCCATTTTTTATTAAAACAATTACTTTTAGTAAATTTAATTAAATAATTAATTAATATGTTATCTGTAAGTTTTGTTGTATTTATTACTGTTATATAATATTTTTTAAATGTTAACGCGAATAATAATTTATATAATTTATATAAATTTGAAGATATATAAATTACATTTATAATATAGCTGTTATTTACTATTTTATATAAATTATAATTTTTTTTATGTAGTTTACGTATGTTGCTTATATGCAAATAATTGCTTAAAAGTGTGTTAATAGTTAAAATCATTTAGATTTAATTTTTAAAATATCTATACCATCCAGACCCTATAGGAGTAAAATTAGATGTTATTAAGTTAGATTTTGTATCGACTCTCCAGTCTATTTTTTCATTTAAAATTAGACTTTGAAGTGTTTTTAAAGTGCTTTGAAAGCTTAGTTTAGATAGAATTCCTTGATTTACTCCAGTATAGATTGTTATACCTATTAAATATGGAGTATATGTTAAAATTATTTTATCAGCCAAAAATAATGAGTTATTTATTATATTCATTAATTTTATATTATCTATATATTTATTAGATACAGATATATTGCTTAAGTTTTCAATCATTACAAAATTAGACAATTTAGTAGTTATTATAATTAAATTAGAATACAAAATTTTAATATTATTATCAAAATAAAGAGAAAATACAGCTAAGAAAAATCCTATAAAATAATAAAATAAAGAGGATATAGAAGCTCTATAAACATTCAATGTACTGGAATAAATAAATTTATAAATATAATATATATAATTATTTATATTTTTAGTATCGTTAAAGGTTGCAGGAAAACTTATAAGTCCTTTATTGTATATATTTGTATAGTCTGTATTTTTTATAGTTATATTTATATAATTTTCTGAAGCTGTGTTAATAATATTTTTAAAAACAAATAAAGTATTATATTTATTTTTAAAAATTTGTAAATTTTTGTATTCTGTTATATCTGTATTTAATGCTAGATGACTACTTTCAAATAATTTAGTTATAATAGCTATTTTGTTATTTGTATCTATAATTTTATCAATTTTTTTTTTATATAAATTTGCCGATTCAAACTTTTTTAAAAAAAAACTATTATAATTAGTATTTTTATATTTATTAGTTTTTTTGTGTTTATATACAGTATACTTTAAAATTTTTTCTAATTGTATATTATTTTTAATCATACCAATAATAATTTGTTAAAATAGTATATAGTTGTTTATGTTATAGTTATGTTTTTCAAAAAAATAATTTAAAGAATAAGTTTTAAATAAATTTATACCGGCCCATAAATTATTTAAAACCTTTATTAAAGTTGTAGACAGTAAATCTATATAATAATACAATTCTATACTTTTAACGCTATATTTACATACTAAATTTGAATAAAATAAATTATTAAAAATATATGTATGTTTATAGTGTTGAAATAAACAACAATATTCGCTCCAATTAAATTTATTAACTTTATTTATATACTTATTATAATTTTTAGAAGAAGATAATAAATTTTTAAAAGTTAATTTATCTCCTAAATGAAAAGTTCTTAATAGCATTTGAGTACTAGGCTCACCTAAAGCTTGACCACTTATAACACCTTTACTATAACCTGAAAGTATAAAATTTTTATTGTTTATAGATATACATTTCATACATATTGATTTATTACTAGAACATAAAAAAGGAAAAGATAAATATATGTTAAAATATATATTTTTATAAGTATATTTAGATCCGCATTTATAACATTTTAATGATACATCTCTTAAACTTTCCACAAGTTTTCTTGTAAGATATCCAGATTCAGAAGTATTAAGACTACTATCTATTATACTATTTCTTGCTGAAAAAGAAGAATATATAAGATCTTTTAAACTTAATCCGTAGTATAAGTTACTAAGTAAAAACGTACTAGTATTATTATCAGAATATACTCCTTTTATATTTAAACTTTGAAAAACTTGTTTCAAAGTTAATTTTGCTTTAAAATTAACTAAAGAAAACAAATTAGAATAAAAACAATCCTTTTCTAAATACACATTTATTAAATAAATCAAATTAGATATGTTTTCTAGTGGGGTATTAATATTATATAATACTGTATTTTTAAAACTATTTAAATTGTAACTAAACGTAAATATAGAAGAATATTCAAAACAAATATTCAATAACTCTTTTATATATTTTTCTATATAAGTTACATTAGTTAAAGATAAAAATTTAAAATTTTTATTAATCATATATTTTTAATGTTAAGTAAAGATCTACCAATAGTTGTTAAATAAAAATAATTAAAATATCTAACAGTTATAGGTGTATTTACAAAAATATAATTAATTTGTAAATCAGTTAATGATGTATAATCATTTACTATAAAATCTTTTATAAAATTAAAATAATTATAAGCAGATAACACATATTTACCCAAAATAGCTCCTTGAGTAACATTAAATATATTATTAGTGTTAGTAGGTGAATACAAATTAGTTATTGGCCTCATAGTAAATTTAGATTCTTTTATTGTATCAGAAAATAATAAGGAAAAAACACCCATTTGGTCCCCATCAAAATCTGCATTATAACCTACGCATAATATAGGCATAAATTTTATAGACCTACCTTCTGTGAAAATAGGCTCAAATGCTTGTGTATTCATTTTATGTAGAGTTGGTGCCCTATTTATTAAAAATGAATAATCATTTACTTTATTAAATGTATCATAATAAGGTGTGTAAGAAGTATATTCTTCTAATTCTTCCATGTCTACATCTTCTAAATCTTCTAAACTTACAGAAGAAAACCTGTTAAGCATATGTACAGGAAGCCCGACTGAATTTATACTCATATCTGGTCCTGATACTATAGAAGATCTACCTGAATAATCTACCCTAAACCCTAATAAATTCTGTCTAAAAAGACCGTACTTACCTTGTAGTTTAGAATATATATTATAATCTTGTTTTACTATTGATTGAAGTTTTGAATAAGTTAAAATAATATTTACTAAATTAAATAGCACAAAAATATATTTTATTTCATAATGAAATTTATGCTCTTTATTAAGAATTTTATTATTTATATCTATAATGAATTTGTACAATAATGTAAATTTAGAATTTAATTTAGAATCATCAAATGTTTTAATAGAGTGTCTAAGACTAATTGGCAGTACAGGAAACAGTATTAATAAAAAATTTTTAAATTTATTTATTCCGTTTGTTGTGTTCAATATTTTTAAATCTAAAAACGATGCTGTTTTGTAGCTTTTTATATTATTTAACTTATATTTTAAAAGTTCAGCAGAAGAAAAAAATTTATATAATAAATTTATAAAGTTAAGAAACACATTCATAACTACATAAGAATTTCCAAAAAGAGAAGAAGAAGGAAAATTTAAATAATTATAATCATTATTAAAATTTAAAGAATAAATATTACAGTATTTAATTTTATTAATAGAATTAAATAAATCTATATATTTAATAAATTTAGTCAAATGCAAAGGATTAAAAATAGGAAAATTAAAATATATAGAACCAAATCTATATTTTCTATTCTTGTTAAATTTCATTTTACGCCCGCATGTGTGACATAAGTTATTATAAACTATATTTTCATTAAATTTAAGTTTTTTACACAAGTTATTTTTGCATATATAAGAATATCCAAAAATTTCCTCACATAATAAACTTCCTGTTCTGAACCTTTTCCTTTTATGTAAAAATTGAGAAGAAGAATATATTAGCCCTACTATAAGCTTATCTTTATATTTTCTTATTATAGATTTATAAATATCTTTTAAATTAAGTAAAGATAATTTTATATTGTTGTGTTTTGTCATTTTTTAATAAAATAATACACACTTAAACATAATTATATTTTAATATATTTGTTAAACTTTATATTTATTAAAATAGATTTAAGCTCCATTAAAAGAAGATTAAATGATTTAGAAGATAACATTAAAGAATCGTTTTGATTTAGTTTAGTTAAAAATTTATAATTAGTTTTAACTAAAGATAATTCTCTTAAATTAAAAGAAGAACCATGCGATTCTAAAGACCATACCTCCATTTCTCCAAATTTTTGACTAGGACAGCTGTTATTTAAATGTTGAGTCAAATTTAAATCTCCTGTAGTTCTATACTTGAATTTACTCTTAGAAGTATGAACCAATTTAAAAAAATATAATAAAACGTTATAAGTAAAATTTTTTAATTTATACCCGGTTTTGAAATCTCTAAACACAGAAGTAGAATCATTACTAATTTTATTATCTATATATTTAGTATTAAAACTATTATATAAAGATTTTATATATGTATTAGAATATAGATCAGAATTTAATAAATTTACAGGAGCTTTAATTCTTAAATTATTTTTATAACCTATATTACCTATAGAACCCTCTAGAAATTGTCCTAAATTCATTCTAGCTGCAGCCCCTACAGGGCTAGTAACTATATAAGGACTATAGTCTTTAGAATTATACGGCATATTTATTCCATCAATAATAGTTGACACTGTACCTTTATTACCGTGTCTACCGCACAGTTTATCCCCTATA